AAGACACCAGAGGTGAAGCTGATTTTCTCAAGAGTTCTGCAAATAGAACCATTGGGTGTCACAGCTGGTGGTGGCAAGTGATGTAAGCCCAAGGTCCTGTGAGGGTAGGGCTGCAGAATAGACCATTCACAAAATAATTATTAGATACCCATTTGTACTAGTCTCTGAGTTTAGAAAAATAATGGGTACTGTTTGCCTTCTAGGAAACATACGTGCACCCACATGTGTGCACACACACTGCACATTTCTTGAGCATCTCAGACTCTGTCAGGTGCTTTTCAAGTCTTATCTCTAATTCCCAAAGATTAAGAACTTGTTCCAGTTCGGGTGGCAGAGCCAGGACTAAAACTCAAACCTGTTTGCCTCTAAGGCCACGCTCTTTCCTCAACACCGTCCAGCCCCTCTCAAACAGTTTCCCACACAAAGTGAAAGGCTCACCCACAGGGTTGGCTGTAAACCAAAGCCACCAGGAACGCACGAGGCAGAGCTAACTCTGACTGGAAAAGTCAGGAGGGCATCACAGAGGTGGTGTTTATTTTAGGGTTAATCCGATGGGCTTGATGGGAAAGGAATTCCAGGAAGGAAGTGGCATGTCCTGATGGCACAGAGCTTTGCAAATGCAGGGAAGAGCCTTCTGTGTTGAATAGCAGGTAGCCTAAAGCAGTGGGGCGTGTGGGGGTGTGAAGAGGGATATGACCAGGGCTAAGGCAGAGAGGGTGGCTGAGGGAAGGATCATAAAGAGCCTCCCACGTTCCGTCAAGACGTTGAGATGTGTTCTCACAGGCAATGGGAAGCCATCAAAGGGGCTTGGACAATTATCTGGTGCTAAATGTAAATGGTCATTTTTCTCCCAGGAGGGGATGTATATTCATACTTTAGAAGATTATACAGCTCAGTGCCTCCTTGGAAAAGAAAAACAATCATCTCTCCAAACATATGGGTGCTAAGTCTGTCCCCTTCATTTTATTCTGCACCATATGTCACCCTGAATGCTTAGAAGATGAGTAGATGGGTTGACTTCACAGATCAAAACTTAGTAAGAAATATCTTCATCTGTTATTTTAAACTTTTTCCCACTCACTACAGCCAAAGCCCAATTTACTGATCTAATAAAGGTGGCAACTTGTAAAGTACTTAGACACGACTGGCACACACCGGGAGTTAATTTACACACACGTGCACACATTCCGCACTAGGTTCTTATTAATGTCATTTCAGCCCCACCTTGGGTAGACCTGAATGATACAGACAGACATACGTGCGTACTGTACAGTGGAGACAATGCACTACAAAAAATAGCTGTTACCCCAAGTGGAAGTATGGTACTATTTTAAAAACAAAGGTCATAGGTTTTCAGAAACTAGAATTTACTTCCACACCAGGCTTTCTAAATAAACTTGCTGTAAACTTTTACAAGAACTCCTTTCAAAGACCCTCCTCAGGGGTTTATATATTACTCATACATCAAGGCTGTCTCCACTAAGCCAAACACATATCTGGATGAAGACTTGAATCATTTCATTGTTTCCAAGTGCCTGGCTGTTTGAGGTTGATAAGATACCTAGACCCTGTCTGAGACTCTGTGGCTTTATCAGATTCTATAGGCCTGGTGCACGAAATTCGAGCATGGGGGTGGGAAGGTGTATGTGTTGGGGGGTAGCGGGGTCCCTCAGCCTGGCCTGCACCCTCTCCAATACGGGACCCCTTGGGGGATGTCCGACTGCCGGTGTAGGCCCGATCCCTGTGGGATCTCTCTCGCAATCTGGGACTGCTGGCTCCTAACCACTCACAGGCCTGCCTGCCTGATCACCCCTAACCCCTCTGCCTGCCTGCCTGATCACCCCTAACTGCCTCTGCCTGCCTGCCTGATGCCCCTAACTGCTCCCCTGCCGGCCTGATCACGCCTAACTGCTCTGCCTGCCTGCCTGATTGCCCTTAACCACCTCTGCCTCGGCCCTGCCACCATGGCTTTGTCCAGAAGGATGTAAGGAAGGACATCTAGAAGACATCCAGTCTATCTGGTCTAATTAGCATATTACCCTTTTATTTGTATAGATTTGCCATTAATCAAACGCAACCTCACAGAGAAACCTAACTGTAGAAGGTTAAGGACCATGTTAATGACAGTGCTTCCAGGCACAGTGAAGCGAATGGTGTGCCCAGGGCCACAGAGCTCACAAGGGGCTGAGCAGGCTTTAAGCTCTCAGTGTCTGACATCTCAGGCTGTTTTCTTTCCACTACACTGATTGCCTAGGTCAGTGGTTCTCAACCTGTGGGTCGCGACCCCTTTGACGGTCGAACGACCCTTTCACAGGGGTCGCCTAAGACCATCCTGCATATCAGATATTTACATTACGATTCATAACAGTAGCAACATTACAGTTATGACGTGGCAATGAAAATAATTTTATGGTTGGGTCACAACATGAGGAACTGTATTTAAAGGTCCAGAAGGTTGAGAACCACTGGCCTACGTACTAGGACTTATTTCGCAGATTCTGAAGCAGAGTCTAAATGACCAGTCCCTCAATATCTACAACCCTGTCATAGTTATCAAAGGAAAAAGGAATGAGTACAAAGGACATTCAATGACTTGCCCTGGACTCAGCATGTGAAGCAAACTGATAACGTAGCCCCCAGCGCAAACACTAGCATGCATTCCCGCAGAGTGGGGTCATGCTTAGCTCACATTCTGGAAGGTTACAACCAGGAGGAGCTTTAAGTGCCATCTGGGCCATCTCTCCTCCTTTGGGCGGTAAATTTCCACATTAAGAGAATGCGAGAAGAAAAACCAGACCGGAGTTCTCTAGTTTCAGTAATCGGGTGGTTTGCTTACATGTCCGCACTGTTATCTACGCTTGCTCTGAGAGCTAGCTCACTTGGTAAAAAAATGTAAGCTTCCCAGAGCAGGAGCTGAAAGGTAAACATCCCTGCCTGTTAGCAGGAGTGAAGGCTCTGGTTTGAGTAGCCAAGGAAACTAGGACTTTCTCACCAAGGGTCAAGCTTTGCGTGCTTCAATGTCGCCACCTTGTGGAAACTGTCAATACTACATCAAAATCAACACTGACCATCTATTGGGGAGTCAGAGACAGATCCAACAGCAAAATAAACTCTATTATAGGATACGAAAATCGCAAAGTAACCTGAAAACTCCTTGGTCATATATGACAGTGAGATGTGATAATGATAACCTTGAGGCCATGCTGGATTCCAAAAGTCTTCTAATTAATAATGAAAAGATTAAATCACAGGCAGCTTAATTTTAGTAATAGGCATAGGTTATTGTTGGTTTACAAAAAACTAGAAACACAAAACGATGCTCTACAGTTAACGCGATCATTTCATAGCAGTCCATCAACCTTCCCAGCCATTCTAGATGGCAGAAACTTGTTAGGTTATAAGGGTTTGGTGGCTCCTGTCATCCAAATTTTCACTACAGGATGGTTCTAAAGTAACAAGCAGAAAGCCAAAGCACCTCTATGTCTAAGCTTTTAATTAACTCAAAGAACATTTCTAGTCAGACCAGTAGAGCTAAGCAAAAGTAAATTAATTTTGAAATAAATTCCAGTTGTGCTATTTCAATACAGCAATGAGATACTGGGCACGATGGTGCAGCACAGTGGCTAAGGAGCAGGGCCTGGGCTCTGCCTCTGAACTACTACAGGGCCTTGGGCAAGTTAATTAACTTTCCCGAGCCTCAGTTTACTCATCTACAAAATGGGGATTGTGATATCACCTACCTCAAAGGATTGCTATGAAGACAGAAGAAGGTAATATACATAAAGCACCTAGCACAGGGCTTGGTACATAGTGGGAGAATGAACTATTATTCAATTATGAAACTACTGACTCAACCATGGGTTCTTGATCACTGTTTATGGAAATCAGTGGCACAAGTGTTATGCCTAATTTTTATTGTCAATCATTTTGGCTGCTAGAATGCTAGAAGAGGGAAAGATCTTGAAAAACTTCCGTGCAAGTGAGGGGGACAGATTAAGTCTCAGGCAAGTGGAATACACAGATGCATCTTCGGTTCACCCAGCGATCGGGGAGTAGAGCCAAGAACAAGAGGAGGCCTAGGACTGCACATGGTCACAGTGCGGCTCAGGCAGCAAGCAGCTCATTACAGAGAGGTTGGGTTTGTTCTGTCGCCCATGAATCCATGTGCTCTTCAATTCAGCAATATCTATAAGCTCCCAGACGTATAATGCACTGTGCATTTGGCAGTGCACAAGCCAGACAATGTCCTTGCTTCCTGGAGCTTATTATTGCAAGCAGGAGGGGATGGGGAGACCATAAAATCTAAACAAATAATCAGGGTAATTTGAAACAGTGATAAGGTTTCAGAGGAACATAAGACGGGGTGATGGAGAGGACAGGGTAAGGGGCAAAGCTACATAAACTACTTCAAGTTGAATGGTCCAGGTGGGCTCCTGCAAAGAGATGCCCGTTGAGCAACAAGAAGGAACCGGCCATGCAAAGATGTGGGGAACCGAATCCAGGCAGAGAAACAGAGGGTGCAAAGGCACTGTGGCAGGAAAAAGCTTGATGAGACTGAGGACTGGGAGGAACAGCTACAGCAGGGGAAGCAGGGGGTGGGGAGGGTGGAGAACCGTGCGATCTAAGAGTCAGGTAAGAGCCAGATCCCGTAGGACCAGGTAGGCCATGCTGAGGAGGCTGGACTCCACCCTGAGTGCCAGGTTTTGATTAAAGAACTGACACCGTGTGGTTTGTTATCAAGTGTCACTCTGGCTGTAGGTGGAGCCTTGCTAGAGCCTCCCAGTGAGGACTGGCAAGCCTGGACCACGGCCCAAGTCACGTGATTCTTCCCAGAAGGTTCCCCTCTGCACCACACAGCCTTGGACGTGGACCGCAGAAAGCGAAGTAGGCAGTTTGATGGGCTCCAGAGAACTTAAAGTGCTGCCAACACAAATAAACAAACACACACTAGGTGCCAAGCCTTCTCCCGCTCTGTGAAGAGAGAAACCCCAAGGACTCACCCGCTGGTGATGTCATCCGTCCGGATGTTCTTGCTCAGGACGTCCCCATCGCTCATGTAGCCGGGGGCGTCCACGCTGAGGCCTTCCAGGTCCATCTCGTCTCCGGCCTTGTCGGAGATGTCCACATGGCACACGCTGCTGCCCCTGGACGCCAGCTGCCTCCTCAGAGGGGCAGGGTACACGTAGCGGCCCGACTCGGTGTTGATGAACCGGCTGGCGTTGGCTCGAGGCGGGTACCCGTTGCCCATGGAGGGGGCATCTCCTGCTTGGAGCCGAGGGCTGGACTGGCCGAGTCTCCAGGACAGAGGAGTGGGCCTGCCCGTCAAGCTGAGGATACTGCGCCCGCTGACCTCCGTGGTGACGTTGGTGTCAAATGTGGTTTCTAATGTGCTGAACACATAAAAGCCGCCTTGGGTTAGAGCCCGCTGCGCCTAGAATCCTTTGCAGTTTATATGCTCTTTAATGTTTTTAAAATCATGAACGATCCCCCGTACACAAGACAGGATCAAACACCAGGTGCCCATGGACCACACTCTGTTAGAACAGAACAGAGGAAGATGTGCACCCACACAACATTCGGGAAAGCCCAGTGTAGGCTGTTCCCACCAAAACACGGCACAAGGCACTCATGACCATGACCTTGATTCAGTTACCTTAGCTACTGGAATCGTCTTTCTAACCCAGGAAGGGACATGGAAAATGCTGCCCTGATAGCAATGGGCACAAAGGTCCCCCGCTGGGATGCTGCCTCACAGCTCCCCCTTCCAAGGGCAGGACGCACCTGCCCCCGTGCAGCTCCTAACACCAGACCTCCTTCCCTCAGCCCCTCCTGACCGAGCAGGCAGGGGCAGCCTTGACCTTCTAACTCTCTCAGGTTCATTTCCCCACACATTGGCTTCTATATTCTGCCCCAAATGACAACTAAACCTGGGGCAAAAGGCTGGAAAGAGTGGTACGTGCTTAGGCTTGAGATCACATCACTTGGGGAATATACCAAAGTGCAAGGGTCCCTGGCACCGGGAAGACTCTTTTGCAGTCCCCTGTGCTTCAGCCCCGACACGGTCAAGGCAGGCGGGGCACCTCCTCAGAGCTGCGTGGGGTCTCCCACTGCGCAGAGCAAGCGGGAGTCTTGCCGGAGTCTTGCCGGCAGGAGAAACCACCGAGCTGTCCCTTCTGTCATCATCATCCTAGTCCACGCCAAGGAACCCACAGTCAGTCCGTTTCAGTGATTATGGTGGAAACTTAGGGGCGTTTCGTATCTAATCACAGAGTCCCAGGGTCCAATGCGTGGCCCCATGCAATCAGAAAGCTAAAGGCTTAAGGGGCCCCCCACCAACGCCAAGTTCACTCTCCTCTGGAAGAATCAAGTTGTTTGGTGTCTCCGATGCTTTTGTTTCCCTCCAATCCTGCCCTGCAAGCAGCCTCACTATTTGTAGGCTGGGGTCCCCCTAAAGATTGGGCCCTGGTCTTACTTAATATGGAACCCACGGTGCTTCATCTCGAGCTGCCAAAACAGCGGGCAGCAGGGAAGCCCTGCTGTCTCCTTGCTAGTTCACTTATCAAAGCGATTGAAGCTGAGAAGCAAAGGAGAGCCTGGGAGATGAGGCGGCGGGGGGGGGGGGGGGGGGGGGGGTTTACCTAGGACATGGCCTTGATTACCAAAGCCAGACACAGGCCGTAAATCGCCATCCTGCCAAAAGCTTGAAGGGTGTCCTAGGGTTGCATCCTTTTCAGCTACTTGCTCAGCAATGAAAGCAACCTGATAAATGTTTTCAAGGTAATGCTAGATTTCATCCAACAAAATCACTGTTCAAACACGACCATGCATTTTTATAAAGGTGACCTTACATGTCTTATACGCGTGCATGACTAACAACATTACAGAGTAACGACTATCAGAAGACGGGGCAGGAATTCGAGTTATTCACTTTATCGCTCAGGTCAAATGCAGTTCACCTGCTCGTTTCGACAGCACAGCGTAGTTTTGGGAAATGCACGCAAAGTGGAATTTAAATGGAGCTGGCTGAATGGACTTAGCAGCCTCCTACTTTGGGGAGGAATCTGTCCATACTAATTCTTGCTACTTACACTTCCCTTCTGCCCGCTGCATGGCATTCTTTGTCAATTCCAGCACATTTGGCAATCAACGTTATTTATTCCATTATTAGCTAACTCAGTGGTACGAACAAACACAGGAGAAGCCGTGTGACCATCAAATTACCAGCTAGTTCAGTAAAGCAATTCACCCTTCAGATACCTGTGTGTAACCTGAGTTCCCCGTAAACTGGACATGGTCTCCTCCAAATTCTGCCGCAGATCGGCGATGTTCTTCACTGTCCGCAGTCGCCGTGCCTCGGGGTCTTCCCCTGGAAAGATGAGGGTTAGGACTGCTTTAATTCCCAGCTAGATGGTGAACGTCATGGGAGCAGGAATTGTGTCCATGATGTAACCGTGGCCCACGCTCAGGGCCTGGCTCACCACGGTGCTTCAGAAGGATTTGAGAAAGAATGAATGAATGAATGAATGCACGCATGCCCAAAGGAGAGTGTTAAATCCAAGGAGAGAAGTGCTGCTTCTCCCTCTAAATCCCTCCTAAAATAAGTGATGTCTAGCTCGTGGGAGAAGCATAGAAACTAGTCTGAGACGTAAATACACTGTCACACTGATTCCAATACAGACACGCGCACATGAGGTCCGATTCCCAGGAGCGTTTTCAGCCCAGGTGAAAGTGGGTGAGACATTTTGTTTTCTCATCCATCGGTGACACACACTGCTGTCTACCGGCCCTATGTGACAAAGGGACTTGGCGAGGCTAAAAGATCTGTGCTTATTCATCCCATGTCTACCGAGAGAGGTTTGCCTTTTCTTTATTATGTCGTCTTAAATTCTGGCTCTTCTACTCACCGGCTGTGGTATCATGGGGAAGGTGCCGACCCTCTGCATCCTCCTGATGCCGCCACCCTACAGTGAGGACAGTAACGGAACTGACTTTGAAGGACCACTGTGGGGACTAAATGGCACAGGGCTGGGGATCCCGGGGCACAGTGCCCACCACCAGCTTCAACGCATGCCCATGCCCGTTGGTGCTGCAGAGCAGGCAGCCACCAGGTAGACTCAGGGCCTCGCTTTGGGAGACAAGGGACTTCCGTTCTCTGGGCACGACTTTCCACAAAGTACGTGGCCCCGGAGGGGTCAAGCTGGCACGGATGTCCGAGGAGATGCAGGCCACACAAGGCAGAAGCCATGTGCTCTCTCACAGTAAGCAGCCTTGCTTCGGCGCTCTGGCTGTTATAATTTGTTTGGGAAAGAGGAACAGGGGAATGACCACATAACAACGAGAGGGACCAAACATCTTTCCCCCAGAGAAACCTCAGGGGCCGCTGAGAAGACGGAAGAGCCACGATCAAGGGTCTTTAAACACCTGTGACCATTTCAAGCGTGAAGCAACGTTTTTAAAGAAATCTCCATAGAGAACATGATCTACAGGGGCAGCAGCAAGTGGAATCTACATCAGATGCTAAGTAGGACTTCCAGCGTTGTCATTAGCAGAACAATAGGCAGCTAAGAAATGTCATAGGATTAACCTTCTTTCTGAGACAGATGACAAACTCATTCAGTTGTTCTTAGCACGGTGGTGCCCGGAGGCTGGGGAATGGATTAAATAACAGTTATGTGACTTTTTGGAGGAAATTTGCTTTAGCAAACTCTGTATACTTGGATATGCAAGTGTTTTCAATTTTCTCCCTCTTTTTAACCAAGAAAAATTTGGAAGGCATTTTTTTTCCCTACTCTTATCTGAAAAGTGGTCAGACGTATACTTCCCACCCAATTCTTTAAAATACATCTATGTAGGTATGTGTTTTTGAATGAAAGCAGTGATGGAATGGCCCTGGAGGAATGTAATTGCATCGATCTCCCGGGCCATAGTGAAACATCTGCTGCTGCCGGCATGGCCACATTTCATCTAAGTAAAGCTGCCAACAAAGGTAAGATCCTACGGACAGCGCTAGGCCCTGCAGCCAACATTTATTATGAAACTAATGACCTTCATTAATTAGCTTAATCACACACAATAAGTCTAATAATTATTGATCCATGTCCCTATTAATGACATGGTTATTTGTGCTAACTCTCCTTCAGAAATTCAAAGATCTTTGAGATGGGATGGCATCTCCCCTTTGCATTCAGTAGCCCCCACACATATCTACTGATGCCCAAGAAATATTTATTGTCCAAAAGACGTTTGGCCAGTGCAGGGCTGAAGAAAGAGCGTGGGCTTTGCATTCCAAGAGATAAAGGTCTGAATCGTGGCATGGCTGCAGATTAGCCACTTGACCTTGGACAAGTCACCTATTCTCTCCAAAGGACATCTGTGAAATGGGGATAAAATCCTTCCTTTCGAAGGGTAGGAGGGGGATCAGATGAGATGACACATAAGATATGCCTGGCACAAAATGAGGGCTTGTTGGATTCTACTGTCCTGTCAATTCTGCCTCCTTGTGTGTATAGGCAAATGAGACAGAAGACAAACTCCTTCGATTGTTCTCAGCATGGTGGTGCCCGGAGACTGGGGAATGGATTAAATAACAGTTATTTTATAACTGTTTATAACTGTTATTTTATAACACGCACATTTGCCTCCTGGGAAGATGCCTGAGTGTAAGATTCTCCCCAGCTCTCAGACCAAACAAAGTAATAATACACCTGGTAGCCATGCTCTAGTGTAGAGAGCAGGATCCTTTCAGCTCATGTAAAGAGATCATAAAAATTAAGCTATTCCACGTCTACCTGTGCCTTTCACGTCTGCTAAGGGCAGCCCTCCCTCAAGTCATTGGCCATGATGGAGAGAACACCGCACATTCTGACCCAATAGGGCTGTGGTTAGAGATGTCGGGTGAGGGTGTTGAACATGGAAGGAACCTGGGATTCTTACTTGGAAGAGGAAGGCTTAAGGGACAAGCTGCTACATGGCAAAGATCGACATTGTCTGTGGGCTTTAGGAAGCTGGATTCTATCCAGGGATTAGAAATGTAAGAATAAAGAACCCTGTTACCAATTAAAGCCACAAAATATGGAAAGGCTGCTTTAGGAAGGAATAATCTTCCCGTCACAGGAAATACCCAAGCAGAACCTGAAAGAGGAGTCATCAGTGAGTGACAGAAGGGATTCACAGGCTGGATAGTAAACAAACAGGAGTGTGTGGTTCCTCCAAACTCTGCAATCCAAGATGCGGTCTTAACTGTAAGGCTATGTACCTGACAAAGCACCTCGGGAAAATCCATCCATTTGCATAAGCACGGGGAAGAACTGATCAAACAGCCTCATAAAAGTCCATTCCTAAATAAACGCACCGTTCGTTTTCATTTCAAAGGATCAGTTATGGAAAAGTTAAGTTCAACCCTGTTGCCACCATGCAGCGTCTCCACAAAATAATTCACCCCATAGTCACACACGCGAGGAGTCCTACTGCTTGGATGTAAAGACCCATGAAGAACTGTTCATTAGCCACCAGCACCATTTCACTGAACGGGGGAGAGGCTTGCTCAGGCCCGACTGGCTGCACAGGGCTGTTCCCCGAAGCAGCCGACAGCACTCAGGATCTCTGAGCTCTCGGCTGGTTTCACAGGCCCGAGGCAGGGGAGCCCTGGGCAGAAGAAGAAAAGCCAGCGATCACAGGCTGCTATTGGATCACATGCTCCAGAATGTGTTATGCAGAATGTTCTCTGGTGGCTGCTTTTCCAAATGTGACTTTTGCTGAACCGCATGCCTGACACGCATCCACACTGCTCCTCGGGACACACATCTGATCCACGCGGGGCTCTGAAGCCTGGCCTCGCTCTCTTGATGTGTGCACATAAGAACACGAGCTGGGATGTGTGTGGAGACCTGAGCAGGCATCTGAGCTCCACACCTTCCCTTGGTCCTTTTCCTGGGCTATCTGTGCTCACCCATGCGTGCAAGGGAGCTACAAACCCCGGAGAAAAGCAAGCAGAATCCATCCCACATGTGGGGCCCCAAACGACTGGGAGATGGATCGCTCACAAACGGCTTGAGCACTCTCTGCCCCATTGCTGTGCCCAGCTGGCAAAACCAGAAGGAAATAGTTAAATCATTCAGATGATCGTTGGAAATTAATCCTCGGAGCTACTGGTGAAATGGGTAAGATTCGATCATATGGGCTGCAGACCAATGCTGCAGCTGAAGTGGCTATTTAAATGATGTGGTCATGGACAATGAGTCTAATAAATGGATTTCAAACACAGATTCAATAACACAGATTGAATAACACAGATTCAATTTTCAGTGCATCTCTGGAAGTGGTAAGATAGGAGAATAACAGTCCCTGCTAAAAGTGCTTACCACTCATTTCCCTGGTTAGAAGTTGCTGGAACCCAGGGCACAGTGGTCGGGAAGAGAGACAGAGGTGGACACCCAGAATGCACTGCAGCAGGCATTCTAACTCAGATGCTAACTTTTCTCCTTTAAATGAAGACTGAAGGTGTAGCGTTAATATTTGTGGAATTAATTCCATGACAACTGTGGATTCTATGTTTTTATAGAATGCCCCTTTAATCATCATGGCCCGTGGTCGGCAAACTGCGGCTCGCGAGCCACATGCGGCTCTTTGGCCCCTTGAGTGTGGCTCTTCCTAAGCCTTAGGAGTACCCTAATTAAGTTAATAACAATGTACCTACCTATATAGTTTAAGTTTAAAAAATTTGGCTCTCAAAAGAAATTTCAATCGTTGTACTGTTGATATTTGGCTCTGCTGACTAATGAGTTTGCCGACCACTGGTCTAGGCTATAGTTAAATAATTTTTTTTTTTGGTTTTGGTAAAAGCAGCATACTGTAATCTTTCCAGTTAATAGAGGATGCTGAGAACAATGTTCAATCGGTGTTTCCATACAGGAAAGAAAAAAAAAGGCAGTATTTTGAGTCCCAACTTTTGTTGGAAAAAGATTTTAAGAGTAAACAAGGTGCTTCAAAGTTCAGTGTCAGAGCAGCCCAGTGCCCCCACACGCATGAAATGGGACGTGTCTTAAAAGATGCTTTGCCAACAGGTAAGAGACTTATGTGCAGTTCTAAGGAGGAGGGAACAGACTGTGTGAGAGACAGAACTGGAAAGAAAGAGAAGAAAAATAATAATAAAAATTATAAATTTGTTTAGCTCCGTGGTCGGCAAACGGCGGCTCACGAGCCACATGCGGCTCTTTGGCCCCTTGACTGTGGCTCTTCCACAAAATATCATGTGCGGGCGCGCACGTACAGTGCGATTGAAACTTCGTGGCCCATGCGCAGAAATTGGTATTTTGTGGAAGAGCCGGTATTTTGTGGAAGAGCCACACTCAAGGGGCCAAAGGGCCGCATGTGGCTTGCGAGTCGCGGTTTGCCAAGCGGCAGTTTGCCGACCACTGGTTTAGCTCATCGATCAATGCCACAGCAAACCAACTTCGAATCATGCTGAGTTCATGCCCTCCCAGCAGGCGGTCCCACAGGAGGCCGCATCGCCAAGGGACACAGAGTTTCTGGGGCTCCACACTCACCGGTGAGTTCTTCCAGGGCAGGCTGTCCACTCTTGGAGTAGTGGCTGGGCTCCGTGCTCACCCCCGCGGAGCTGGACTCGGCGGTAACATTCCCTTCGGTGTCTGTCTGGGACCTTCACACACAAACCAAAGCAGAGATGCTTGTCACGAGCGGTAATTCCCACGTCTGGACCACTGTGTTCTTTCCACAGCCCCTCCCCTCCTCCCCAGCCCCTCCTGCAGCAAGAAGCTTTAGGATGGAGCAGACCAGCAGACTGACGCTAAATAATTCATTTGCGCATGTGGAGCAATGTCCTAGAAACAGAGAGAGCCACCAAACTGGAAATGATGAAATATTCATCGCCCAAATGGAGGGTCTGCTCTCCTGCACTGGGGAACGCTCCTCTGTGTCCCCATCAGGGCTCTGGGTCTGGCAGGAAAAATGCTGGAGAGTACTGGGTGGTTTGGACCATTTAGTCAATGCCAGACAGCGACTTCTACGTCACCAGCAACACCAGCAAGTCAAGCATAAGATGACTCCACCGGCAGCCCCCTTCCTCACCCCACCCCACCCCACCCCACTCCTCCTGGCATGGGCTCTCTGGAAAGGTGACGGTGACACACCAGTCAGGACTTCGTGCCAAGCAGGTGTGTTTGCCCTCCAGGTGTCTGATTCACAGCTCAGATCTGCTGACATGAAAGGTCTCATTGATCATTCTTTCAACATTGACTGAAATGTGTACTTCCCCAAACCTTCTCCAGGCCCTTATTTGTCAAGACAATTGAGGCAACGGCTTCATGCAATGTGTGCTTGCCCTGACTACCCCTGTTCATTTAGGGCATGCAAATGTATAGCGGCACTCAGATGCATAACCCCGGGTGTAACATTATTAATTCATTAGCATCCTGAGCTAATTCACAACCAGGTTTCACTGTCTATGAAGAAAGCGTTTGCCAAGAATGAGAACTGTCTTAAATGTGGGGGATGTGCTGATAACCCTCAAGTCATCTATCTAGTCCTCCTTCCTTTGGCCTGGAGCCATCGGTTCCCAGTTCTGGTCATCTCTACCTTTAAAGAGTTTTCATATTCCCAGTGTTCCTCTCCATCCGCTGGCCAGAGTCCCAGCTCTCTTCATCTCTGCCTCAGCCCCATGAGGGCTTTGTAAACAGGTACGCTGCCTCCAGCCCGGGGGGCTGTACATGGCAGCCAGGTGTAGAAACCAACCCACAGATTATGTTCTCATTGGTATGCACACTATTTGAAAGCTTTTGAATTAGTTTCAACATTAAAAAATTGGGAGATTTCACAAGAAATAGCTGGAATTCTGCCTTCTCCAGTAAAAATAAGAAACTCTGGATTGAACGAGCTCCACCTGCCGGTGACACATGGTGACTGCTCCATCCAGAGGCCTGGAGTTCCCTCCGCCAAAGCCCAGCTCATCCTGAGACTCCCGTCTTTTTATACTGCCTTTGGGGCCCAAGCAGGAGACTGGCTCTATCCTAGGCTGTCCCTAGGCCTGCTCCTCTCCCACACCATCTCCACTATTCTCTGTGATCCTGATGTGACCACATCACCCTCTGATCAAAGGCCACCAATGGTTTCCCATTTCCCACAGAATAAGGTCTACACTCCTTACTGCAGTAGAAGGTGCCCTACGTCATGGAAGTCTTCCTTCACTCCCAGCCCCATCTCCTGCCACTCCTGCCCTGTACACACAGGCCTGCCCTCTGCCCCACCCACCCGTGGCTCCTCTCCATCCCCAGATCGTGCCATGTCTTTGGCGGTGTTGTCTCTGTAGTTGTTGTGAGCTCTGCCTAAAGGCCCCGCTCTTCTTTCTTCTTTAGTTTGCTCCTAATCTGCCTTTAAGATGTAGTCCCGAGTCATCTTGAGCTGGAAGCCCTCCCTGGCTTAGCCATCAGCCAGATGATCACGCCACCCCGTGTGCGTGCCTACAGCACTCCTTATTCTCCTGAGGCCTGCTCGTTACACTCTGATGTAATTAATAAATCTTTCCTCAACTAGATGGACAGCTCTGCGGGCGAAGACTGGCTCTTTGACAGGTGCCCATAAGAACACCACTTGTTAAGTTCACACTCTGAACAGGCACTCAAGGCAGGACAAATGCATTGACTGAATGAATGAGAAACGTTTAAGTCTAGGACGGTGCTGGGCAGCGGGAAGAACATCACACTTGGGGCCTGACCCTGTAGCTGGCTTCAGGTCTGGAGTCCGTAACTTGACAGCCATGCACATGGGAGTAAGCCACTTCACCTCTGAATCCCTGGGCCTGCATCCGTATAGTGGGAACAACGGCGACCTCTCCCGGCTACTACAAAAACCACATGTGGAACGACATAGAAGTGATAGAGGCGTTCACTGTTGCTTCTACATTGATAAACCAAATTCATTCTGAGTGATTCCTAAAATGATATATCTTCCTTTCATCCCCTGGTAAAATCACTAACATGGAGAGGATATGGGGAGAGCCCTGTAGGTTACATACAGCGAGCCATCAACTGCAGAGAAGGATTTAACACATAAAGGAAGTCTGCACCATTTTGAAAACCTCCTTGATCGAGTCTCTCACTCTAGAGATGGAGACAATCCGTCGCAGAGATGCGTGATCTGCAGAGCGGAGACAGTGCAGTGGCCAGCAACGTTCTCTCTCACTGAGCCGAGGAGTTAAACACTAGCTCCCCTGGCTACTAGCTCTGTAGCTGAGGGCAAGTTATCTAATTCCTCTAAGCCTCCGCTTGTTCAGCTATAGAACGGGGATTTCGGAAAAAGGTAGGCCGCGCATAGAAACGTGGGGATGAAGAAATGAGCCGAGGCATGAAGAGCTCTTAGCTGGGTCTCTGCGCACACGCGGTGCTCGCTCAGCGGTGGTTCCTGCGCCAGTCCCAGGACCACACAGGGTGCGGCAGGAGGGACAGAGGCCAGGGGCCCCGGCTCCATCTCAGCGCTTTCCTTCCCAGCCTCTGCCTGGCTCACCTAAAGCGAAAAGGCACCTCGAGGGGCAGAGGGACATCAGACAGGGGAAGCTTAACGTGAGGCTTGACAGATACACAAGGAACACAAGGAATTTTCTCCTTCCTCCTACTTGCCAGACGCTTGCTCTTTACCATTAAGAGTGTTTCCTCTCATAAAAAAGCTTGAAATGTTTGCCCTGGACAGTGTTCTCAGTGGTTAGAGTGCCAGCCTGTGCACCGCAGGGTAAAGGGTTCGATTCCCGGTCAAGGGCACGTGCCTCGGTTACAGGTTCGATCCCTGGCCCCAGTCGGGGCGCATGCAAGGGACAATCAATTGATGTGACTCCCTCATGTCGGTATTTCTTTCCCTCTTTCTCTCTCTCCTGCCCTCCTCCCCGCCCCCCTATCCCTCCTTCCCTTCTACCCTCTCTAAAACCCAATGGGAAAAATATCCTCAGGTGAGGATTAACAAAAACAAAACAAAAAAGCTTTAAATTTTTAAAGAAAGGTTAGCTATTTTATAAACTTGTAAATGATTCCAGACCCAAAAACAGGGGGGATAGGGCTGATGGTGATCAAAGACTGCCATATATTTTAATTTTGAAAACTGTTCAGAGAACAACTGTATTAAAAGCTGTGCGTGCAGACGAGTGCTGAGTCGTTATCTAAGCCTTGGCCCTCTTCTCTGGACTGTTAGCTGAGCTGATGACGTGATTTAATAAAAAGATGACTAGCTCCCAGTTACAAGGTTCGGGCGTGACCCTCAGGCCTGACATTGCCTCACTGGCTGGACCCAGCTGGCTTTACTCTGAAACCACTCCAGGCAGTCTTGCCAGCAGCTATTGGCAGGAGTGCTAACAATCTCCTAGGACACCACTCAGGCAGGGAGACGGGAATGGGCACGAGTCTAAGCCTATGAACGGCTATGTATACATGTGTGCATATGTGCACTGGCATTTTATATACAAATATGTACCTGTGCTTACACTTACATGTGACTGTTGATGTACTTCCACATACCTATGGGCGTATGAGTGTGTGTGTACAGCTGTGTATGTGTATATACTTAGGGTGGAAACTATAAAATGAGAGCCTAGGATATGGCATTCAATCATTCAATCCTTAGTCCCCTTTTGCTATGTAGAGGTATCGGTTATCATCCAGCTGTGCAGTGTGGTCAAGGACATGACACGTCCGAAGCTCAAGATCGATCAACTGACTACTGTGAGCACAGCTCTGGGGCTTCCTTAGGATCAGGGCTAGGGGAGCTGCCATCTGCTGGAGAGGACTCCTCCACATGCACCAAGTAGCGCCTGGCCAGTGTCTGCATCCCGCAAAGGCGTGTGGTGGAGCTGGGCAGCCAGAGGCTCTCACGGGGCCAGAGCCACACAGAGCAGAGCGAGCAGCGCCTGGCTCCACGCATGTTCCTATGGGTGTGCTGCCATCAGAGTCAGAGACCGAGGGACAGATAGCAGACAGAAGGACGGTCAGATGCAAACACCCAGGCTTGTCTCCTCAGTACACCCTGGTTCTTTCCTTCTAGAATTGGCCCCGCTTGCTGCTCCCCGTCTCCCTCTTCCTGCTCTCTCCCCCGACACCCCAGCACACAGCAGGGACTGGAAACGTGCTTACTCTGTGTGCTGTGGTGAGAAACGGCATCCAGGACCACACCTCTGTGAGGAGAAGCCTCAACTACTCAGCAGGGTGGCTTCTGGGTTTTTCATTTTTAAAGTACATTCAGGATGGGCTGATGTTGGAGCCTGCCGAGTGACACCAAACCACCCCTCACGCATGTGCTCATGCTGCTCCTGCTTCTGAAATGCACCCCCCCACACACACCCCTATCCCCACTCTCCATCCCCACAGGCCTGGTGCACTCCTACTCATCCTGGGTCAGCTCAAATTTGACCTCCTCTTTTTAGCTTTCTCTGACCCTCCCCAAACCCTGCTGTATTCATTGTTCCCTCAAGCGCACTGCCTATACCTCTGTGAGAGCTTATCCCTGGTACCTCAGCTGTTGACCTAAATGTTCCCAGAGGGCAGTCCTGGTTCCTGCCCTCGGTCACCTAGAAGCCACCAGAAAGGCCCCCTTGTCCATGGCCCAGGGAGGGCGTGGCGGCTGCTCCTACCTGTACAGGAACGGCGCGACCGTGGCAGTGTTGGGGTGGCTGTACTGCTGCTGGGGCTGAGGTAGCTGAACACTGACGGTGTTGCTTCCTGTGGTCTGGGTGGTCCCGACGGAGCCGCTGACAGTCTGGCTGCTGATGCTGTGGTTCAGGGTGGTCCCGCTGGGGCCTTTGCCTTCCGAGGACGCCAGGCTGGAGGAGGAACTGGAGTGTCTGCCGTCCAGCTGGGGCTTCTGCTGGGGCAGCCCCGAGCTCGGCTTCCCACCCCGGCTCCGCTCCCCGTCCTTGGAAGGGGCAGGGGCACTTGGGGACTTCCCGGGCATGCTCTTCATCCCTGGTTTTGGTATTCCACTGAGGGAAGGGGCCGCGGCCTCCTTCTTGGCACTGCTGAGCTTGCCCCCTTTGGGGATGAAGCTGGCGATCTTGGAGGACTTTTTTGGCATCTCGGTCGCGGCTGCCCCGCTGGGGTCTTCTCTGGGCCCCTCTTTGAGGTCCAGCCTCTCCGTCACAGAGGCTCTCTTGGCAAGGTCCTTGCTTTTCTCCTTTTCCTTCTCCCGCTGCTGTTTCTCCTTCTCCTTCTCGTTGCCTTTTGGGGAACTCTTCTTGGTGGTCAGCGCCCGGCTGAACGTTCTCTGGGCAATGCCCTTGAGTGCAATCTTGGGGCTGCTGGAAGCGGGGCCCGTCGTGGAGGGCGTGCGGCCGGTGGCCTCCATCTCTTCGCTCTCTTCGACGCTGGACAGAATCTCCAGCCGCTCACAGCTCGTGTCCCGAGACCCCGGGCCCTCCCCTGCCTTGGAGCCCCCTTTGCTGTTGAAGAGCTTCAGCTTTTCCAGCATGGACTTCTGGGTGTTGGGCGCTGGCTTCAAGGCTTCGGGGCTGGGCCTGGGGGCCTCGGGCACGGGCTGCTTGGCCGAGAGCATGGACGACGTGGCGCTGTGCTTCACGCTGATGGACTTGCTGCGCCAGGGCTTGGTGGCCGCGCCGGGCTGGGGGATGGCCGAGGAGACACCGCAGTTAGCAAGGGTGGAGCTGCTGCCACTCTCGAAAGAAGCAGGTGCACTTTCGCTCATCCCGGGGTGGGAGGAGGCGGGGCTGGCCAAGGGCTCTGCGGAGATGGGAGAGAGAAGGGAGACTGAGTTACACTGGTGGGCCTGCCTCACTGACGGCGAGGAGGGTCGGCCGTGGTGCCACAGCCGCTCACTCCCAGGCCAAGTGCCTCAGAGCCCCACTCCCTGCTCTGTGCGTTACCTGCGGCTAATTTCAAATCCTTCCTCGGCTCCCTCCTGCTCTCCATCACTCACAGTTCACATTCCCGCACGTGCTGTGCAAAGGCACGCTGATCTTAACATCAAACGTGCATGCACAAAGCGCAATTAACACTTCTATTTATGGGCAAAGAAACAAACTCACACCTGCACCCCGCTGTGGTGCTGTAGGAAGGGTGCAGGAAATGTCCGCTGCTTTTGAGTTCCTCAGCCCGCAGCACCATTTCCGTTACGAGAGACAACTGAGCATTGCCCAGCCCAGCTTTAAGAAAGCAATACGGCAGATACATTAACGGAACAGGCAAAAGAAGAAGACAAAGAAAAGCCCCGGCCAGTGCGGCTAGTTGGTTAGGCACCCTCCTGTCCTATACATCAAAGGGCTGCCGGTCTGACTCCGGGTCAGGGCAAATGACCAATACACCGGGGGCATGCAGGAGGCAGCCGACTGATGTTTCACTCTCACACCAATGTTTCTCTCTCCCTCTCCCTTCCTCTCTCTGAAAATCAATAAAAATATTTTTTTGGAGGGAAAAAAGGAGTAGAAGAAAACCAAGCATCATCTTCACAGAAGGATGATTACCCACAGAAGTCGCTCAGTCCCATCAGAGCAGATCCGTTTTCCCTATGTTTGGCACTTTGAAAGAGTTACAAACACGATTCAGACTAGACTTAAAATAGGAAAGACTTTTCAGCTTAGCGTCTAAGCTGTGCACAGGGCTTCATTGTCGCGGGTTATCTGAAAGTCAAGGCTTCCCCCTTGGCGCTCAGGGGGGATGTCCCCAGCCAGAGTCTGCTCAGAAAAGCCTCAGCATATTTCCAAACTGGAACTGGAATTTATTCTGGGAAGGGCGGGTTCCCAACTGGAGTTCTGCTCACCACCAAGGGGGCCCATATCACGGACATGAGCACCGTAGCGCCCTCCTCAGGAACAGCCAGCACCACGCAGCCCTGGCTGTGAGCAAGGGGGGCGTCAGAGCCAAGGCAGCAGGAAGGCCCGTGGCGGCTGAGCCCCGTGCCCACCCGCACCCCCTGCGCCTGCCTGCCCGCCTACCCGGTGCACGGAGCAGATGGATGCGGCACTTCAGACCCCAGAGCGCACATCCCTGTTTGCAGTCAGAGTGACAGGACTTACCAAGCGGCAGCCACTTTCTCCCGAAACAACTCCCTGTGAAAAGCTCTCCTACCAGAGAAGCTGTCCTTCCAATTGTCACAAGTGTTTTTGGTTAAACTGCTCATGTTTCTAATTAGCTTTTGTCATCCGTAACTGCTCCGGTGCCCAGAAGCCGGCGGGATTAACGGCTGCTTCTTCTGCTCTTTCTTTCCTTCTTTTCTTTCTCTCTCTCTCTCTAATACCTATCTTCCGCTGCCTTCTAGCAACAGAGTAAACTGTGTACAGAGCGGCTTTTTATGATTTAAAAGTCAACGGCCGCCCAAGCGGACTGAAGGCAGCCCCTGTGTGGGACACGCGCAGTGCGGGGGGGTGGGTGTGTGTGTGTGGGGGGAGTGCCGGGGCAGGGGAACGGCTTCCCTCGCTCTCAGCTGCTCAGGGAAGCCACAGCCCAGGGTGATCCAAAGCAGACCTCCCAATGTTTTAAAACACATACATCTTCCTGACTTACTGGGGATTTGGGTTGGGATGGGGAGTGGGGGTGGGGTGCTGCACAATCCTCCCTAAGAAAACTCACGGGGCGGTGCTGGATCTTTTCCTGGGGAGGCCGGAGACTGGCTCAGAGACAGGCTCATGGCACCCACCCACACTGCCTGCCTTCCGAGCTCTCGCAGCCTGGCGCTGCTTCCAGAGGGCCTCGGGGTGTCGGGCACAGTGTTTGGCACACACGCGCGCGGTGAAGAGGGGATAACTGCCCAACTTTAGGGATGAGGAGACTGAGGCTCAGGGAGGGCTAACGACAGACCCTAACTCATGCAGCTGGAAGCGAACGTCCCTGGAATGGGAGCCCAGGGCTCCTGACACAGTGCTCCTGTGGGACCATATCACGGCGACCTCCTTTGAGGAAGAATACATTTCAACAACAGCACGTGAAGGACGAGAGTGCTTTCCAGGCACCGCCTTTTCTATTGCTTAGGTGTGTTTATGACATCTGAGGTGAGGCCTGAGCCAGCCCAGACACTGGAAAGGAGGCAGCCTGTACCCCAGAGGCTGGCTCTCTGGAGGAAATCCTAATGCCCTTCCAATGCCCAATTCTATTTCTCTTAGGACAGCTGTTCTCCCTTTATCAGGGGAGGCTGAGACCTGGGCAGAACATTCATCCATTCATTCATTCATTCATTCAATATATCCATTCATATCAATAGTCACTCATTCAATGAGCACCTTAGTATGTGCAGACATGGTTCTAGGCACTTGGGATACATCGATGACAAAGATCCCTGCCCTCCTGGAGCATACATCCTAGCGGGAGGAACAAATGACAGTCAATGCCATTCATGAATCCATTGTATCATCTGTTAGGAAATAAGTGCTCAGGAGAAGGGCACTTTGGGAGCGGGTTGCAACAGTCTTACAGGAATGACGACGTCACATCTAGAGGCACACCGCTCTTCCCCAAAGAAGTTTTAGGCATATTCCCCGCCGACCATGCACTGACCATACACACATGAGTCACTGGGCCGTCTCTGCTCCCACGCATTCCTTGGAACTCATAAGGCTTGTTGGAAATGGTTTCGATGAGAAATGCCCTGACCTAGCATCTCTGTGTATTTTTTTTTAAATGTTTTTATTGATTTTTAGAGAAGAGGAAAGGAGAGGGAGAGAGGGGAGGGGAGAGAAACATCGTTGAGAGAGAAACATTCATAGGCTGCCTCCTGCACGCCATCTACTGGGGATTGAGCCCAAAACTTGAGCATGTGCCCTGACGGGGAATCGAAACAACGACCTCTCAGTGCATGAGGCGATGCTCAACCAAATGAGCCACACCAGCGGGGCAACATATCCATCTGGAAATTAGCCAACATCTAACTAGCTAAGGACTGACCCAGAGTTAAACAGACCCCGGGTTTGTCTAAGTGAAATGTGCAGACTAACTGAAGATGCTCGTCTCCCTCAGGAAAGATGTGTGATGGAGGGAAAGGGCTCACACAATGTAGGCAGGACAGGCACTCACAGAGTCACTTCTCAGGCCCTGGTGAGACAGCTCCCAGAAACTCCTACTTGTCTTTCAGACCCCAGCTCAGTGCCTTCTCCTCGGAGGCCACTGTCTGAGACCCTCCAGCTGAAGGAACTGTCTGGCTTGCATCACATGGAACTGCTCCCTACTCTGTGTTTTCCTAGGAGACTGCCCATACCTCCCCATAAAAGGATTCTGGAGGGCCACCTACTTACACCAGGCACTGGAAATACAGAGTTGCATAAAGGGCAGCTGCTGCCCTCTACTAATTCACTGTCCAAAGGGGCAACAGACCTCAAAACAAAGCACAGCAATCACATAAAGGGCTGTGAGGGCTGTACAAGACCCAAGGACCGGGATCCACCAATTCTTCCTGGAGGGTTTGGGAACCCCTCACAGAGGAGGTGACTCGAGTTTGTCATGCTATGGGCTGGTTTCTTATTCCACTGGTCTGTGAGTTCCTCCAGGACAGACACCGCCGCCCCCTTCCCGATTCATCTTTGTGTCCCAACACCTGCCAGAGCCCCGGAAATGGTTATACAGTTAACCCTAGAAAAACAGCTGAATTTCATGTATAATTTCGACTCCCCCAAAACGTAACTACTAACAACCTACTACTGAGTGGAAGCCTTACCAACAAGGTAAAGTCCATGAACACATATTTTGTATGTTTTATGTATTATATACTGTGTTTTTACAATAAAATAAGCTAGAGAAAAGAAAATGTTATTAAGAAAATCACAAGGAAGAGAAAATACATTTATAGTATTTATTGTGGGAAATCTATGTATCAGTGGGCCTGCATAGTTCAAATCTGGATTGTTCAAGGGTCAACTATACATGGTTTCTGAATTATTGGTTGGTAGTTTTGACATTTGCAAGTTATAGTTAACACACAGGGAGACACAAGATTTGTGATTAGTCATTAGGGTTTTATTAAAACTTCTCAGTCTAAACTCAGAAAAAAAAACAAAACCCCACACCCCAGGATCAGGGCTTGGAGCTTTAGAACCCTCCCTCCCTCTCCCCCCTCCCCCCTCATTGGCCTTTAGCCTGGGCTCCCCTGGTTGTGAGATCCTGGGGGCATCTGAAGGACACTCATTACTGCTATAAAGGGAAGCACCTGGAGATGCCTGTGCACTTGCTTTCCAGAAGTTCCCTAAGCAGGACGACAAGGCAGCTGAGGTTCAGATCAATACTGTCGCTTGTGTCATGGCCAAAATCGCCTTAATCGTGAAGGGGGCTCGGGGTCCTGTGTGGTCTGCCCAGGTTCACTTGACACGACTCTGTCACTCACTTTAGATGCTGGTGAAGTGGCTGGTGGGGCCTGCTCCTCTATCTTTGGAAAGCAGCCATCTTTAATACCAGGTGCTGAGATTCTGAGCACAGTTTTCTTACCAAGCCTCAGCAAAGGGTGTGACTCTAGATATGCTGTTTTGCCTCTCTGCGCCCCAATCGCCCCACTTGTAAGAAAGAGGATGAGCTGTTTCCCTAGAGTCTTTTCAGCTCTATTTCTATCCCATCTCAGTGGGTCTCCACGCGGCTCTGTGCGGCTGGGCCACAGCCAGGCCTGTCCCTCTGGCCCATGAACGCAGCCCACTCACCAAGTTCTACCATCACTCTGAGCTGTGACACACAAGGCTTCTCCACCTCCAAACAGTCCCCTCCACAGTCCTCTCAGGATGTTTACTATAAATGGAGAAACCTGGTCCAGG